GGCTACTGAGCTAAACCCTAAACCCTAAACCCTAAACCCTAAACCCTTAGGGCGGCACTCTAGAGACTCTGAAGTTGAACGCTCAGGCACAAGCCATGGTCGACAAGATGATTGGCGCCGCCGGCTTGCAGGAGTTTCATAAACAAGAGCCACAACACGGCAAGCTTCAACCCAAACTCCTCAAGCCCAAGCCCGCATCCTACACCCGGAACACACCCCTAGACCCTGGACACTAATAAACCCTAAACCCCAAACCCCAAGCCCTAAAGCCCGAGTCATTCAGGGAACCCCTGGTCTTAGTCCCAAACCTCTAAAAAAACCTCTGAAGCCTTAGCCTTAAAGCTCTGAAGCCTTAAAAGGCCTTCAAAGGGGAACCCCAGAGCTCAAATTTTCGGGGCTTCAGGGGGTTATAGGGTACGGGGGTTTTAGGGTTATGGGGTTATAGGGTTATGGGGTTTAGGTCCCCCAACAACCCTTACGAACCCCCTCCCTAAACCCTAAACCCTAAACCCTAAACCCTAAACCCTAAACCCTAAACCCTGTCGGCCTCAGGCTGCCTGCATCCCGGGGGTCAACTACGTCACGGACAAGATCATGGACGTGGCGCAGGGCGCCGTCGGCTTGGTGAAGGAATCCGGTGGGGGGGGCTTTCGGGGTTTAGGGGTTTTGAGGGTTAGGGGGTTATGGTTTAGGGTTTTGGGGGGATTAGGGTTTAGGGTTAGGTTTATGGGGTTTAGGGTTTTAGGGGGTTTAGGGTTTAGGGGGTTATGGGGTTTAGGCTTTAGGCTTCAGGCTTTAGGCTTTCAGGTTTCAAGCGCGCCCAGGGTCTTAGAAACGGGTTTAGTGAGGGACTTAGGGCATGAGGGCTGAGGCCTTCGGCGCATGATTTTTGGTGCGTTGTGGTTTAGTGGTTCGGGTTCAGAGCGCCCAGATTCTGAGTCAACATCCCGCTCCGAAGCAATCGTTAAAACGCAGATAGCCCAAAGTCAAAGCTCCGCAATCTGCAGGCCCTGATTCCTGATCTTAGCCTCGACTTCTCGACGCCCTCCATGGTGCTGCTGGCACCCAAGAAGCTCAGCAGCCTTCGGCTTTTTTGGGGCTTCGGCGCTGTTGAGCTTCCGGCCTCTCTATAAGCCCTAAGCTGCCTCAACCCTAAACCCTAAACTTCTGAAGCCCTCAACTCCCCCCTTAACCCTCAACCTCACTTTACTCCTTATGCCCTAAACTCCAGCCGTTATCCTTTCCCTGCGCTCCTTAAGCCCTCTAACTCCCGAGACCCTAATTACTCGACCCCCAAACCCACAAAGCCCATGAAACCTCCGAGCCCGAAAGATTCGACGCCCGTTTTCCTGACGTGAAGGCTTTGGGGAATTAGGGCTCTAGGGTTCAGGGTTTCAGGGTTTCAGGGTTCAGGGTTTAGGATTTCAGGGCTTTAGGGCTTTAGGGCTCCTCAGGCCTTCAGCCCTAAGACCCTTCGACGCTTTTACAACCCTTGAGCCCGACCGTGAAGCCTGAAAGCCTGAAGATCCCTAAAGCCCAGAGCCCTGTTCGAACCCGAAGCCCGAAGCTAAGTCCCCAACCCTAAACCCTAAATCCTAAGTCCCCAANNGGGGGGGGGGGGGGGGGGAGGGCGTGACATACTTAGTTGGATTTGAGGAATATTCCTGGATTTGGGGGTGTGAAGTCCTGAGTATTTGGGGTTTTCGTAATTACAAGCTGGGTTATTAGTGCTCAGGGACCAAAACCCAACGGTGTAGGTAGGGTTGAGGAAGGGCATGAATCACATGAAAGGAAGGCATGAAGTTATTGAAATGATTGAAATAAGCGGCATTTGTGAGCTGAGTGAAATGAATGACTGCAATGTAACGACTGGAATCTGTGAAGGACTGCAGAGCGCGATGCATAAATGAATGTGCGTTTGCGTGCAAGCTGCTGTATCATGGGTACATGCATGCCCTCATGACTGCACGCCTCTGTGTGCTTCTGCTTCTTCTGCATGTCCATTGTCCGCCTTGGTGGGCAGCTAAGTGCACCCCTTCAACCCCCGAGGGTTTGTTTTAAACCACTCAAAACCTTATCTTTTGCTAGAGGTCGCCAAGACGCCTGGATTTGATACAGCACCTTGCAATGCTGAGCTCGGCTGCAGCCACGCAGGCCAGAATTGGGTGTCGGTGGCCTCAAGTGGAACTTTCCAAGAGCCACACCCCAAGATCGCCACAAGCCCACATGCACACAAGATACGCCGCTTTCACTTTCAGACGATGGGACACATCCATTCCGCAGCAGATTTGTAGTTCGTATAGAGAACCTCCCCAAAAACGTCCCAAGCCACGTTCGTCCGGGAGGTCGTGGCACGCCGCAGCTCGCATAGAAGGACGTAGAGATGGAGGCCGGGGAGGATGAAGGGAGTCAGCAGTTGTGGCCCCGTCCTGGCCGTGGCCGAAACGCACGACCGAAGGACCGCTTGCTTTCTCAATCGAAGATCCAACTTTCCGACAAGGTAGTGGGTTAACCGTTAAACCCTAAACCCTCAAAGCCCTAAACCCTAAACGCTGCAGGGTTTCCCGCAACAGCCAGGCAGAGCCCGCAGAACTGCTGCAGCTTGCTGGGGACGCTGCCCCCACGAGGACCTGCACCCGGGCGCCGAAGGCAGAATAAGAAAAGGGCCTTAACTATTACCCTTAGTAGTTTGGCGGTTCCTTAGTATAATTATAGTATAACCTTTCCCAAAACCCTACTCTAAATATGAAGGCCCCCTATATGAACGTCTTAAGCGGTTTAGGGTTTCGGGGTTAGGGGCTTAAGGCTTCAGAGTCCCCACATATTTTTGGAGGGCCTGTTTGCTGCGCTTCGCGCGGCAAGGTTGCTTCGGGTCTTTGGGGGATGACATTGACATGTCGAGACAAGCTTCGGCGTGCTCGGAGATGTCTTCGCTGATTAGATGATCGGGCGCATCTCGACCCTCAGGGTGCGGGTTTCGGGCAAAGCTTCGTGTCCTTATGGGATCCGTGTCCATGTCGGGGACTCAAGCCGGCTTCGAACATGTCTACTGCAAGCCACTCGGAAAGAATCGCCCAGGCAGCGTGTACAAGAAGTGGCGCATGCGCTGGCTTGGCAGTGATGTGGAAGCTCGATGCTCTTGAGCATTGCTTTTGCCTTTTACATGTCTCCTCTGCCACCTTCAGCCCCAAAACCCTAGTGCTTCGGCTGTGGTTTGGGACGACAGCCCTACAACCCAAACCCTGAGCCATAGAGCCCGAACCCCACGATCCTAGTGCCCCCAGACCCCAGGCCACAAAATCCTACACCCTACAAGCCACGAGCCCCACACTTTTCTTTGGCAGGAAATGCCGCTGGGCTCCACGCCCTACGGAGCCAATGTAGGCACCTGGGAGGCCTGCTCCTAGGCTTCTGAGAGCAGATGTTCCTTCGCGGGGCTTCAAAAGCAGAATCCAGGGGCAAAACAACAACTCATGCATACATGGGTGTCTGGGTGGATGGATGGGTGGGTGGGTGGGTGGATGGATGGATGGATGGATGGATGGATGGACGCATGGATGGATGGATGAAACATGCGCAGGCCCTCGAACACAGTGTCGCCTCAGCAAACCCTTGCGACTTTTCTCGGCATCCCAGGTTTGGGTCTTTGCCAGGCAACAGAGGGCTGCCGACAGGCGGGCTGGGGCTGGGTGGAGGTCCAGGGTTTTAGGCTTTAGGCAATAGGTTTGGGTTCGCAGGCTTCTGGCGTTTGGGTGTGAAGTTCAGGGTCAGCCATGCAGGGGCCTTAATTATAAAGACTTTCGTTTTAGCTCAGGTGGTCTATGCCGCAGGGCACTGCTACGGCATGAGCGTGGCGTCCAACGAAGACCAGGACAAGCTTCGAGATCGCACCACACAGCACAAGAAAACTTATGCCACATCTCGGGCCCCTAAACCCTAAACCTAAACCCGCAAACCTTAACCCCTAAACCCCGAAACCCTAAATCCCTAAACCCTAATCCCCAACTGCCGAGCCCAGAGCGCAGGACGGCTTAGGCGGCCACAACGACCTTTTCACCTCCGCCCACTGCATCGGTGCCGAGCGACATTGCGACATCTTCCTGACTCTTGCATTCTTTTGAACACCCTAAACCCTAAACCCTAAACCCTAAACCCTAAACCCTAAACCAAAACCCTAAACCCCAAGCCCGTAAACGTCCCAAGCCCCAAGCCGGACCACCCCAAAGCAACATCACAACTCACCTCTTGGGATCGAAAGCCAGAGTGCTTGAGGTGTGGAAGGCCAGCCCTTTGCAGCAAACCTTCAAGGGGGCTTTAGAAATCTGTATCGAGCTGCTTCAAGTTTTCGGGTCTATGCCAGGCGTTTTCAGACAAAGCAAGACAGCATCAGGTGGCAAAGCACAGCGCGTCCTACAACAGCGCAGTGCAGTAGAACCCCAGATCATTGCAGTTCCAAAAACCCTAAACCCTAAAACCCTAAAGCCCTAAACCCTAAAACCCTAAACCCTAAAACCCTAAAACCCTAAAACCCTAAAGCCCTAAAGCCCCAAAGCCCTAAAACCCTAAAACCCTCTCTCTCCGGGGCCCCGCGGCTTCGGCCCCGCGAGCTCCAAAGCCAACTTGGCCGACCAAGGCCGCCCTTGGGCCTTTCGGCCTGGGTTTAGGGTTTTAGGGTT